TTGAAGTGTTAACAAGCAAATACGATCTTTTTCTGTGTCTTCTCCAACAGGCTGTGCAGCAGGTTATTTCCAACTTGCTCATCGCTCAGATAGAGCTCTGTGCTGAAGATTCTCCGGAAATTCAGCCTTATTCTCATGAGCGACAAGTGGAAAAAATCGTTGTTCCGCTCGGGGAGGAGCTGGTAGAAATGCAGAACATGTATATCCGGGTGAGTAGTTGCGTTTTGTTGTTGTTCACTGTGCTGTGTCCCCAGAGACACGAGCTCCCTTCCTGTTGCAACGTCTCTATCTAGACTAGCCATAAGCCCTAAAGACAACGCTTACCTACACAATTAACTTTGCCTTTGAGTATACAGCAAAGAAACCCCCCCCGGGTTCACGTACAGCAGCTGCTTTTTCACTTTGCACCCGAGCTGCGTGCTGCCGTGCGGTCACTCAGAACGCTGGGGTGCAGAGCTTACGGTCGGAAGGCAGACTTGTTCATGCGTCTTCTAGGTTGAGCTGGGTCAGCCGGTTGCAGAGCAGTACCCTGAGAGGGCAGTTCAGTGAGGAAGGCCCACTGGTAAGCCAGCGAGGACCTCAGAGAGTTTTGCGTCTCTGCAGGTGCCTCTGAGAGCTCCTATCCAGTGCAGGGATTTGATTTGGGGTGTTTTCCTCGAGATTTAAGCTGAAGTGAGCACGTAGGTTTGGCTAACCTGGTGTAATTAAGGAGTACGGATAAGCCTTAACTGATTTGTCACTGTGGCTTCAGTGGTTTCTATTTCCTTTCTTTGATCTGGTATTTGCATTTGTATTGCTACTGCTTGACTTAGAAAACACGGTGCAAGGGGATGGCGCCCCAGCCTTTTTGTGTGTGCATGGATGAGCCTTGGTCTTGGGGACCTCGGCGCTTTCCAAAGTGGCTCCTGTACCTCTGCGGGTGTAGTCATGCAGGACCTCAGCCATACCCTGTAGTTAAATCCCACTGCTTCCCATGCCCCGGTGTTTTGGTTCTAAGCAGCCTGAGGTCAGGGTAGATGTGCGCATGCACCCACCGAAGCAACAAGCGCGTGTTGCATTATCCTTGTCCCCCGCCAAAAGGACCGGGCATGAAGTATGTCCTGAACGGCGTCGGGGTTTAGGAGCAAACTCCCCGTGCGCGTCACTCCACGTTAAGCACTGCTCCTTCACAGCCCAGTTCTGAAACCAGCCCCATCTCGCCTGCACTGTGGTGGGAATCGGGGCGGCTGCGCGGGGTGCTGGATGGAGCAGGGCTGCAGGTGGAGGAAGGAGTTTGCTAGCAGGGCTGCAGGCTGCAGCACATAGGGGCACGACTCCACATGCACGTGATTATCCAACGAATGTATGGGGTTTTGGAAGTTCTTCAAGTTTTTTTGGGGTCTTGGACCAAGCGTTTCAAACCTGGGGCTTGAATGGCTTTTGTACCATCAGAGTAGCACCTTGTGACTCCTGCTGTTGCAGGGCCAAGGGAAGTTAGCAAAAGGACTCGTGTGTCTGTGACAAAGATGACAGCCAGGTGTACTCTGCACAGTAAAATCATTCTCTTTAATTCTGACGAGCAGTGATGGTAAACCAGACAACATTTTGGTGAGAGTGAAGGACAGTGTAAAACAGCACAACAACGCCGGAAAAACTACGTTTATACTTGTGCACATACCATAAGCAAGGCCCTGAGTATCACAATAGCTGGAATAAACATTTTAGGCACTAACGCTTGTTCAAAAAATACACAGTATGCAGGACAACGGGTATCTCTTAAGGCTACGTCATTTAATCTTCCTGAAATATGGGTGAATTCTGGTTTGTGATTTTTCTTTATACAGTGGAAATCTAGTAACTTACTAAGAATGAAAATCCATTACTTAATGGCTTATAAAGTAGAGCCACAGGTGGATAATAGATACCTATTCCGATAAAAGGAGTTAAGCAGTCACACTTGACGTGGTTTTCAGACTTTCCAAAGTGACAGATTTGAGTACCAGTAAGGTTTCCTTGGCCATCACTGGTGTAACTATGAAGTACACTTCATTGTGGGTGAGTGAAGAACCGCAGTTCTCCATGCCCGTGCTTGTGAGGGCCGTTCCCAGAAGCTGGTGCCAACTTCCGTAGCCATACAGTGTATCTTCGAATTAACTGGTTCTTCCTCAGCAGAAGCCGTCTACCGTAAGTCAAATAAACACTATCTTGGAATTCACAGTTTTACATGAAACAACACAGACACTTGGCTGCAGTTGGGGTGTCAGCAGAGTCAGACGCATCCTATTTGTCTATGTGGGTTACAAGAATGTTTCTAGAGCATGCCCACAAGTAGCTGAATGAGGTATTGAGGTGAAGGCTGCCCATGGAGCCAGACACAGCCAGTGCTTTTGGCACCAGGCGTTGGGAGCGCCAGGCGCGTACAGACTGCTGCTTCATGGCCAGAGGGGCTGACTGCTTCCAGGGGCCACTCGGACCAAAGCCTTAAAAATGATTCCTGTAGCTGGTGAAAGCAATCAAACTGCAGAAGCATCTTTGATTTGCCATAAAGCCACATCAAAGGTGAAAATTGGTTTTATTTTCTCTTATAAAAAGTTTCATTAATTTGTTGGCTTTCACTTTAATACTGGCTGGCATCTCCAGCAATCTGAGGAAATGTTAAAAATAAATAAAAATCCACATAGATAAAAACCAGCCAAGAAACCATTCAACGTCTTGAAAAAGAAGTCTGATTATTATTTTTCCCTGGCTATGATCCTCTGTCTGGAACAACGTGAGAGGAATGAAAGCCGTAATGGGAACTGTCACGGTTTCATTCCGTTCAGTGAGATGCACTTGGACGTGGGTTGAAAGTGGTCCAGCACACAAAGGGGTCCCTAGCTGTGGCTGCAACAAGCGTTGGTGCTGTCACCTGGCAAAGCAGGTTTGATAGCTTCCCGGGCAGAATAAGAGAGCCCACAAACCCACAGTGTTTTCTGAGATTCCACCTCCTCCCTCAGTTTAAAATCCAGTTCACGTGGGGGAATACAAATGCCTGTGCAGGACATCCAGGGATAGCAGACATTCAGAAGAAAGTGAGGATTGCTCTTTTGGTGTGTTTTTCTCCCCTGGTTTGTTTGCATTAAAACTAAGGCTTTTCCCTGTCTCTCTTCCTTCCTCCCCCATTTTTTTTCCCCTTCTTGCTGTGTCCCCGAGGAATCTCCGTGGGCACCCACCACCAGAGAGCACCTTGGTCACACTTAAGCAAGCCCAGGCAGCACTCTCTGCTCCTGCTGCTCAGCAAGAGGCTTTAGGCTAAGCCTAAAGTCGGTTTTGTGCAGCAGAGAGCCTTGGGGATCCAGGAGGCCTACAGCTCCTGAGACCTGTACGTTTATCCAGTCAGAAGTACGACACAGACCCGTTTTGTCTGCCGACTAACGCTGCCGTAAGCGCAGACTGACTCAGGCTGCCGGTTGGCATGTTGTGTCCGAGTAGCACAAAAGCTCTACTTAAAGCCTGTATCCTGTAACCGAGAAATAGTGCTGGTGATGTATTTGATGACATTTGACATTAAAAGACACTGACTGCTATTAAGAGTAAACTCTACCATCATACTTGTAAGGGGAGATGTTAAAAAGGGATTTTTGAGAGCAAAACTGTTTGCAACCCAATTCTAAAGTGCAGGAGGTGCTTTTTAAACAGCAGAGCACAAATGCTGCTTTCAGACCTTCTGATGGGTGTAGAACTATGAGCTCGTCTTTCAATGCTGGACTAGCAGTGGTCTACTTTGGAGGATTATCCTATGGATGACGGGTAAAAGAAACAGGCTGCGGCGTGGAAAATTAGATATTTTAAGAAGAAAAATGCTCACAGTGAGGGTGGTCAGACGCTGGCGTGGGGCCCAGGGGGTTACGGGCTCCCCAGCCTGGAGGTGCTCACAATCCACCCGTGAGGCCCCCGCGCAGCCTGCTCTGCCAGCGGCACTGGCCCTTCTTCCAGCGACGGGCTGGGCCAGGTGACTACCCCAGTTAGGCTTGATGATCTCACAGGTCTTTTCCAACCTAAAAGTCTCTGTGTGATTCCCTGACTGCCAGACGTCACTTCTAGCTCATTTCTTTTTCTGTGAAATACTTGTGTCATTTATGACCTTAATAACGTGGTGCTGCCGGAGGAGTGTAAGAAGTACTGAACACGTGACTGACTTCACCTGCAGGGTTTTACCATTCAGCAAAGTCGTAAGAAGAAAGTGTTCAGCGAACGAGAGTTAAAAATAACCACGTTCCATGTAGGAATGCCACATCTAGTCACGGATTACTGCGAGTGTGTGATTAAGGTAACCTGTAACTGTGGATAGCAAAACTTTACTGAGCATTAGGACTGTGCTGCTTTCTTGGTCTCTGCTCAAGGTTGAAAGAACTTTGGTTGAATGCTTTTTGAGGTAAGCATTAAGAACCCTGCTCCACAGATGGGGACACTAAAAGCAGTCAGCATAGGCCTAGTCTTACTCCTTGGTTTAATCCCAGTGGTCTAGATCGGGCAGTTCTCGTCAGCAATTAAGACCTGACCGTGCTTTTTCTGAGGCATAGCCTGCGTGGGTGAGGTGGCTTTAACGTGTGTCCCACAGCAAGCCCCAGCGGGGTCTTTGTGTGGCTGGTGCAGCACTAGGTGCCCAGAGCAGGCATGGCAGGGGCTCCAGAGTCACCCCGAGGCCCACCCATGCCACAAGCAGCCTGGAGATGCGAGTAAGTGGGTGAGGAGAGAAGTTTCTGTCTCCCTTACCTTGTAACAAAAAAAGATAAGGTGAACCAACTCTTAAAGTGCTAAAAATCTGCATAAAAACTGTAAAAGTTGACATAGGAACCAGTGTGTTGCAGGTGTTACCTGTGTTTGGTTAGTAAGCTGGAGCGATTGCCGTGCTAAGCTGGCGAAGAGCCACATTGCTAAACGCTGGGAGGTTTGACATCTAGTCTCACGTGATTCACCTGTAAGATCCTGCCCGCAAATCGGAACGGGTTCTTGTGCCGCCACGCATCAGGAGCGGGAGGCTATGGCCTTTGGAGGAACCAGATCTCATTGTGGCGATTGGCAGCAGCTGGGTTTGTGTACCCTGCAATGATGAACGTATCCTGCAGGCATAACTCGGGACTCTCCAGAATTTCCGCCAGCAGGTTTATTTCTCGCATTATAGAGTCTTCGTTGGTGATTCCTCGGAAGCTCCTGTAACAAGCAAGTTCTTTTTAAAATCCAGTTATTTCAGAGCCTAGAAATGCTGGTCATGTTTCACTAGTGATGCTACCTGCGATTGCTCTCAAACACAACAGTTTTTGGTAACATCTTCAGGGAGGTCAGATGCCTTGTTCCCAGCTACACGGAATAGGCTGCTTTGAGGTGCTGTTGTACCTCGCGTTTGCAGACGCATCGTTTTACCAGCTGAGTGGCTCAGCCTCGTAAAACAGGCAGCTTTAACAGTTACTGAGAATCAAGCTTTACGCTATGTGAGCTTGCAGAGCTGGATTTACGAGACGTAGCACGCCAGAATTGGAAACCGCGTCTTTTCGCCGTTGTTAGTAGAGCAGAGAGAAAATGTTTCTTACCTACTATAAACGATGGTGGAAGGCCATTCTTCGATGATTATGTCAGAGTCGAAAGGATGAGGTGGCTCGTCCTGCAGCACTTCAGGCAGGTAGTATGCAACAGTCACCGACTGTGTCATCTCCGACTGAGACTCGTTCGTGTGGACTATGGTCACGATGGGTATTGTTATCCCCAAGTACAGTCCTGGGGAGACATGGAAAATGCCAAACAAGGTCTGTGTACCCGGCTTGGCTTCTGAGCTCGTACTGAATAACGTAAAGTGAGTATGCGGGGCAGTTTCATTACTAAAGGGAATTCAGTAGATGTTTTAGGCAACAGGGCTGTGTATTCCAGGTTGGGAGCAGCATTTTATTAGGCCTTGTAGTTTTTGTGTGTGATAGGTATATATACATATCTAAAACCTGCATGTGCAAATGTGTGTGCCCTTGTGTCTAAACTAGTGTTTGGTGGGCTGTCCTGTCGACATGCAGGGCATGTTTGTCTTGCAAACTGGCCTTGTGTCATGTTTTAAATACTGGGGAACAAGCAGTGTAGCAAGACGAGGGGCTGTACTGTGAATTCACTTAGGATTTGCTGTTATCCAGCATGTTGCTGTGCTTGTGCAGTGCTAGAGGGGGAGGTTGTGATTCTGACTGTGCAGGTAGCAGAGATGGCCAGGAGTGGGAACTTTGCTGCTATAGACAGCTTGAAAACAAAACTGCGCTGTTCTGGAGCCAAAATTATGCTTAAACCACGTTAAAGTGTTAAAAGAATGGGGAGGGCGTGGAAAATACCTGACTAAGGAAAAGCTTTCGTGACCGATGTTCTTAGTTTCTTGGAAAGGAGATCAAGGGTTGACGTGGTTGCGATACAGGCACTAGTGCAGAACGGAACACTGGGCAGCGCAAAACTAATCAACCGGGGAACGAAAAAGCGCAAACTGATGGCTGGAAGCTGAAACCATTAGGGTTAAACTGGCTTGGAAACGAGGTGCAGGTTTTTCACTCAGGCACAAGCTACCAAGGACACAATGGATTTGCCATGGTTTTCAAGTACTTGAGTTAAAACTCGGGTATCTTTCTGGAAAATACGCTTCAGCCACACGTTTGGTGTCCATCCAGACACGAGTATAATGAACTCAAATGAAGCAGGCAAAACACTTCCGGTCTCTTTTGGCATTACGCTCTGAAGAGGTTCCTAGAACAGGCAATTTCAGTACTCTGTGGAAACTAAACCACTACAGTTCTGCAGCCGGCAGCCTACAAAACCAGCTAGTGTCGCTTCGCCAGCAGCTGTAGTGGCCAGAATGCCCTTGGGAGCAGCGATGGCTTCCTGCAGATGCTCTCTGCTAGCCCATATGCAGAGGGAGCAGCCCTTTGGTTTAGGCTCTGCTGGAAAGGCTCTGTTACAGGGAACGCTCCCTGTGGACTGGGGGGAGTATTTGGAAAAGCTAATGAACCCATCTCCCTCATTAGGAGCAGCTAGCGCGTAAATACAATGTTTTAACGTCAGTGTAGAATTATGGGACCAATTACCTGAGGAATTCTGCTCACAGATGTACCTCATAAGCTTCATGAATCCAAGGCATATGCTCTGTTCATACTGTTTTTCTTTCATTCTTATACAAGCCCACTTGGCTTTTCCATACTGACGTTTTTCGTAAAGCAGATCTCCAAGCTGCAAACACAGTAAGATGTTCATTTTGTATTTTAAGTTAATCACCTAAAACCCAAGCAAGCAAATAAAAGCCAAACAATAATCAGTGCTGTAGTAGCGGCGTAAAAAAATCAGCTTCTCTTGGTGTACGACCAGGAGAATGGCAAGCATGAGGAGCGAGTCTAAGTCTTGGTGTGAACTATACCTTAAGCACACTCTGTTTAATAGTTCACATGCGCTTCATTTCAAGGTCTAAGCTGGCAGACAGCGAGTAGACACCCAGACCAGTGCAGTGTGTGCACCTTACTCGAGTTCAAGAAAAACTGCACCTTTTCTCAGCTGTCAGTGACATGATCTTCCAAGGAACATGTGAATTTTAATCCTTCCTCATATCAATCAAGAAGGGATATGCTGCTGATCTTGGCCCAGAATTTATGTCAGCAGACTTCCAGGTAGCTCTCCTTTGGCATAAGGAACTGCCAACTTTTGGGCTTGCAGTGTTAAACAATGAATTGCAATTAACCCTGAATGATGTTACTTTTTTATCTGCAGTTATTACAGTAGCACTGAGACATTGCTTTCGAACATTTAATTACAACATAATCAGGAGTCCCAGGCTGTTGAGATGAAATGCACTCAATCAAATTGTGGTATTTGTAAGTTTGAATAATATAGGCCCATTTAAAAGAAACGTGACAACTATTCCTCATACGTGGTTGGTAAAGATTTTCTTGGTTTGCCACGTAGTTTTGTTTGCACGTTTCCTGAGCTGTCCACAATTAGCTGAGCATCAATTTCCATTCTTCATTGGAGGATGAGATGGTTTTGAGAAGGTGGGTTTGCAGATTGCTACTTTGCTTGATAATGACCCACGATAGGAAAGTACATGTTTGGGTTTAAATTCCGATATTCATCTCTTTCAAGTATTCTTTGCTAAGGTTTTACTAACATGGTTGTGTAAATAAACAAGCGTATTGATGTACGTGAAAAAACCAGGCACTTGATTTCAAGTGTCAAAATATGAGGGGTTTTTATCAAATTAATTCTAAACAGTCACAAAGACGGTAATTCCTGGCCATCTGCTGACTTACCTCACAGAAACAGTATGAATTCAACAGTGGGGAGACGGTAAAAATGAGGTGCAGTTACCCGGTTGTAATGCTTTGCACCTGAAGTGGTAAAAATCCTCAAGGGTTTAAACGACCTTCTAAAGAAAGCTAGTTTTGGAAGCGAGGTATGAATGCTGAAACCCCCGTTGAAAGCTGAGCTGGGGAGGGAGATGGTACCTTTTCTTTGCGCTGGATCACAGTAAATGGGATGGTCTGTCTCTCCTGGGGATTGTTATTCCTGGTCAGCTGCTGGATTGGCTCGGCCATGTCTGCAACAGAAGAACACATCGCCAGCTTTAGGCGGGAAGCTGGAGAGAGAAGACCAACGTGTGTGTCATCCCACCTTCTCTTGGTTAAACTTGTAGTGACTTTGTGTTTGTACGGAGTTCGGTTTGCTCGCTGCTGTTAACGGGACAGGGGAAGGGACTTCTGTCCATGGGGGTGATGGTGCCCATTCCAGCAGCTCTTGGAGCGGTGGGTTAACGTGTAGCCACGACAAAGTGAGCTGCTGGCTCTTGTTCACTGGGTCAGGGAAATACTGCTGTGGAAACTTGGTCATTTCCAAACGGTGTTTCATGGCAGATGATCTGCTTCAGCGTTTGATGCTGTGCACATCCCGGTGCTCCTCGCTAGGCAGGACGTGCTGGCTCAGAGGCCACGGAGCCTGGGCTCTGGGAGCGCTGTGACACCCGTGGGGAGCGTGTTCCAGCTGGGATGCCGTGGGCATCCAGCTTCTGTGGATGTGAGGTGGGGTTCTGGGCCCCAAGTGGGTTGTGTAATATTTAGGGGTTTTAATGCACGCCCTTCTAGGAAGACCTCACAGGAGAGGAGAATTTCAAAATAAAAGGTAAACAAATGTTTTCATTAAGAAGTAGAAGAGAACGTGAGCCTTTGTTTGTAGCTTCAGAGGGAGATCTCACAGAACAGGGGGGACACTGGGCCGTATTGGCAAAGGGCAGCCGGCGCGTCAGGGGAGGTGACCGCTCTGTTCAGCGCTCGTGAAGCAGGATTTCGCGTGCTTGGTTTGGGGCTTCATGCTACAGCAGTGGCACTGAGGAACTTGAGATCCTTTGGTGGAGGTTGGGGCAGGCTGCAGTGCAGAAGGGGCTGGGAGAACCCGAATTGCTCAGGCTGGAGGGGAGAAAGTGAAGGGGGGATCGAAGTGCAGAGGCTGTAGATGAGGGAGGAGAAAAGTGTCCTGTTAAAGAAATGTAAGACGAGGAAACACGGAATTCCTCAGGGTATACTTCACTGAAGAACTGTGTCTTGAGAAGACGTGGGTGTTGAACAAAGAAATGAGAACACAGATTGGTGTTGACACAACTGCTTTTGGCTGCATGGCAGTTCTGTACGTAGGTGCTGTCTGACCAGAGACCAGGTACGTTGGATGAAAGGCTTTCTCCCTGTTCAGAAGGGACAGAAGACTCTTGACTTGAGCAAATATGAACGTTCTGGCAAATTGAAAGGTAACTTGTATGAAGGTGGGAGTGGCACAGGGCGAGATTCAGTGCTCTGTTTGTCAGGTTCCATTACAGCTGGCAGGAAGAGAGTGGTGCCATGTTCTCAGGTAGTCAGAGTCACCAGAAAGCATCAGCAGAGATGCAGTGGAATGTACCGACTTTGTTGGACTAATAGGGAGGCTGTGTGTTTTGCGTGCTGCTTAGCTGTGCCGTTGGCTGTTGTCTTGTGGAACAAGAAGGGCTCGGAGTACAGCCTAACGTGTCACCGCTTCTGAGCTGAGCCCTCGCCTCTTGGTGCTGATCAGTATGTGAAGGAGAGCGTTAGTACGGGACTGCTGTTGGAGAACTCTAAGCACCTGCACGCTCGCTTGCCAGCACTGAGGTGGAACTGAAACGGGCTGTGACTTTTTGAATGATGCTCACATTTTTTAAGAGATTGGGTAGCAAACCTGCCCTCCGTTTCTAGATGTAGTGACACTAGCGATCAGCCAATCTGCGTTAATCCTTACACTTCCCAGCCAAGCTCCAACGCACAGAAGGAGCAAATATAGTATATATATACTTGCACATATAATACTAACGTGGGCTAGTACTTCTGTTCTCCTACAGTTTGTTGTCTAAATATGGTTGGATTCTGTGGGTTTGCAACTAGGGTTGCCCTGACATCAGTTCTGGCTGCACTTCATAAATAGATTCTGGCTGGAAGTTGGTGCCTAACAGACAGGCTTGGAAACCTGAATAGGGTTTCCAGCATCAGAAGGATATAGACCGGTTGGAGCGAGTCCAGAGGAGGCCACGAAGATGCTCAGAGGGCTGGAGCACCTCTGCTAGGATGAAAGGCTGAGAGAGTTTGGCTGGTTCACCTTGGAGGAGAAGGCTTGGGGGAGACCTTATT